GGACGGGGAACATCCTCTTAAAATTTCAGCTTTCTAGCTTTTCTGGTTCGCGAGTTATCAACTTACTCGAAAAAAATTTTGGCGGGCGCGCACACGGGTACTACGCTTACTCGCGGGCTAGGTTTCAGCTCATTAATACCTACTTGGATGGGGAACATCCCCTTAAAATTTCAGCCTTCTAGCCTTTCTGGTTCGTGAGTTATCAACTTACCTGAGAAAAATTTTAGCGGGCTCTTACGTGGGTATCACACGGGTAAGACCGCCCATTTCGGGGATTGGGGCCCGTACGTGCACGTAGATTATGACCCCAAAGTTTCAGACCTGTAGCTTTTGCCGGTCTCGAGATGAAAAACCGGTACAGACGAACACACAGACACAGACAGACAAACACACACACACACACACAGACAACCCCTCGTCAATATGCGTTTTCTGCAATGCAAAGCTGCAAAAAAACGCATAAAAAGTCGAATACGGCCTGAGCCTGTCTTTACCGTACATGTAAGAGTTCAGTGATCAGTGTCCTAGTGCCCTATGTACGCTTAGTGAGAGAGTACTGTCTGCATCACTGGGCACTGCCAGTCGAGAATCCACTTACTGCCACATTCTCGACTAGGTTCAGTCTCGGTGACAGTCGCAGTAACCCAGACTAACTTGGCGATGTGACGGGCAGTCTATCGCCAGCTTCTGATGTCCCTCGTATGGGCTGCTCGCATTTGGCAGCTGGGACTGATTTGTAATTTTTATTGTAAAATAGGTTTGGAGAGTGGGGGAGGGGGGAGTTTGGAGAGTGGGGCGGGGTTTGGGGAATGGAGCGGGGTTTGGGGAGTGGAGCGGGGCTTGGGGAGTGGAGGGAGGTTTCAGCAACGACTTTGTCTGTGTGTGTTCGTCCTTCCGAATATTTCTACTTGCCAACCATGCAGATTTGATGCTAAAATTTTGCCAGTGTGTTCCCTGGCCAAGTGAAACTCCAGGAACGTGATATCAACTGTCACGCATCTATATCTCACGTGCGGACATGAGAAAGTTTTAGCGGGGAAATTGCCAACTCAGGAACAAGAAAAACTAGAAGATTGAAACTTTAGGGCAATGTTCAATACTCATGTACTACCAAATGTCTTCAAATTCGGCCCCATAGAACAGCCCAGGGCTTGCGTACGGGCGCGTGAATTTATTGACGGGAAAAATGCTAGCTCAGGAACGAGAAAAACTAAAATGCTGAAAACCTGGAGAAAGTTCCCTACCCATGCATGACCAAAAGGTTTCAAATTCAGCTGCTTAAGACTGCCTAGCACTCACGTATAGGCACATGAAAATTTTGGCGAGAAAATTGTTGATTCAGGAACGAGAAAAGTTGGGAGGCTGGAATTTTAAGGGAATGATGTGCGACTAAAAAATTTCACACCCAACCTTTCTAGTGGGGCTTTTTTCGCGCACCAGCAACTTTCCGTTTTTCAGATCACCTAGCTACACAATTAAATTCCTAAACTTCGAGAGCCAAAATGTCACAAATTCTTGCTACTGTGTTTCTTTGCGATCTTGCTACAGCACGAAATAGTGCAAAAACGCTTGACCGCACCGACCCACCTGGTACATTCCAGGCTGGATTTCTATTGTTTTAAATTGCGGGAAAAACAGTCCCCAAACGACCTCAACATTCTCCTACTCTCGTCATCAGCTTATTTCGGAATTAGGACAATTAGCACACTAGAGAAGTTTTTGCCAATAGAAAACAGTGAAAGTAAACGTGCATTTCATTCGAATTCGAAATATACCTGCCTTATCCGCATATTCGTATTCTGTTGTTTCACAATAACACTATGCCGGCGGACATTTGCAACACTTTTGCGCAGTCGCGCAATAACCTATAATTGGACAAATTTTCATAAATCTGCATAAAGTCAAGCTGTTTTGAAAATGTTAAAAAATTCTGGCATGGAGATCCTGGTGCGAAGCTTCCTGTGCAAAATACCCCCTTCATGGCTTTAAATTACCACAAAAATTCAGTGGACGCATTTACTGCTTCTTTTGTGACAAAAAATTGCAAAAATCGAAAAGGATTAATACACTCAAGTAGAAATAAGTAATGAGAAGTGCGGGTAGCAAGAAGCCACAAGCAAACGTATAATACATAAATGTCGGATTGCTCTCTTCGAAAATACATTTCGTTAGCGTGATGTGGTGGTGATCTCCATCTGCAAATTTTATATATCCGAAAAATGACTGTTACAAGTACATTCAGCTGGAAGAAATGCCGTTGCTAATCGTTCTGTTTCTAAGCCCAACAAAATTGGGAGATTGAAACTGTAAAAAACTGGAAGGTGCAGAACTCAGCCAGAAGGCACCAGAATGAAAGCAAAAATCTGTTGGTAAACGTTGTGTTAAGAAGCAAAAATCTGAACCCAGAAATATGTAATCAAAAAATTGAGGAGAAAATAAGAAAGGGGCTCGCATACAAACAAATCAAATGCATTCAAACTGCGAAACTGTTGTCATCCTACTTTCTCGGCATTCAGGCGGGTAAGAAGCTGGAATTTCATGGCATGGAATACCGCCTGATTCTGAGGAACACGAAAACCGTAATAACAGCTTTCACACACGCCAACGTTTCGCATAGGAATGCGACAAATTTCAAGCTGCAAAAACGCATAATCACACCGGAAACCGTGATTCGCGTTATTACCTGAGTTATATTCATACTGAGCTCAGTGTAAACTCTCAGCTCAACCAGCAGGATGAAACAGATGTGATTTGTCACGAAACGAAAAAGCAACCTTTATAAAAAGAGCTGTTGTAAGTTGTCAAAATCATGCCGCCCATGTGAACATCAACATACACAACTGTGGCATTCATAACGACGGGCAGAAGCAGTATCACCGCTACGGTGGAACAAAGTAACAATACAAAACAAGCTACCGTATTACTCCGCATTCTGAAACATCCGCTGTATTATGCATTATCTTCACAGCGCTTCTTCCTGCATACTAATTACCCCGGTTACCATCTGTGCATTTAACAAAATATGACCGGGTTATATATGAAAAGCGGTGAAAGAGCAAAAAAATGTAATTTATAAAACTCGACTCGGCTGGGCCGGGGATTGCTATGGCTGATGTGCCCTCCTCAGATTTTGGGTTAAAAGGAGTTTCGAAGGTAAGAAGGGTCGGGGCTGTGGTTTAGGTCTCAGAGAGTCATGATAGAGGCGAGGGGAGAGGGATATTGATTGGGAAGAAACTGAGAATTTGTTCAGAAATTGAAAGCAGGAAGGGGAGGGATTGTAAAGGAGGCGGTTATATGGAGTTTTTTATCCCCAGCGTAAAACCTGCTATTGAGAAAGAGTTAGCAACCTTGAATGCTACGTTGGGACCTGAGTTAGACAAAAAACCTGGTACCACGAATTCCCCAGCTCCCACCCAAACTCAGTTCAGGTAACGGCACACTATGCTTTTTTGCACGACTCCATCCCGTGGAGAGATCGCCTGTACCCCCAGGGTGTGATTCACTTCCTGATTCCCTTTTTTTCTTCACTCCTTACTTGTTGCTCCTCCTGTCAGCCCAGCAAGAACATCAAGAACACCAAATCTGCCTGGTTTAATGGATGTAGCGATCCCCTACAGATGATGTAGGCTGAAATGCTCTCAAAAGCCGGGTACAATTATTTCAGGACGTTCAGTCCTGTGTTGCACACCTTCAGTAGTACCCATCCCTTGTTCAGTGTGTTAACTCTTTAAATGCCGCCTGAATGGTCTGCTTCCCCTCCAGCACTACTAGTTAATATGGATGTCTACCACTGTCAGCTAGCCTGCTCATCAAATTTTGTCTTTTTTTACGTTACAATTAATACCCCTGTACCTCTCTTATCCGATGAAGCGCCTGTTTACATGTTTATGAAAAAACGCTAGCATCCTTCGATCCATCGTTCTCTCTGTCACAGCCAGCGCTCGTTCTTCAAAATTCGTTAGAGACTACGTTTCGCATTCATACGTTGCTGTCTTTGGCACAGTGGTGTCAAGAGGTGGGCACAGTTCTTCCGACCCGACACGTTTAGGACATCGATGATATTATGAAACTTGTGCAAGCCGACATCCATTCTACGTACAGCCTTTGGGTGAGGGCGAACCGGAGTGTGGGAGTTTCTGGGGTATCGCAATATATCAAATAGTGATTAATGGTTTTTCGTTAAAAATAGATTAAAGACCAACTGCG